GAAGTCAGATTGGGTTTGAATGTTTGAAAGTGCTGATTAAAGAAAATAAATAAAACAAACAAAAAACCAACACACCACAAAAAAAACCCCACCCAAAACCCACTAATACTTCACATGTAAGTATGAACCTGGCAATTTTCTAATACAATGTCCTGATTCCATAAGCAATTTATGATTCAAAAGCCTCAAGTTAACAAAAAAGCCTTATACATAACTAGCTAGTTGTTTTTTAAAGCCTTTAGATCAGGAGGAAGAATATAATAATTATGCTCAGCAAATTCCCTGGTTGTACATCAAAGAATGGGTTGAGCTAAATGCTACTTATGGAACTCCAAAGGTGTAGTATTGGAAAGATCAAGATTACAGGTCAAAGCTATAAGGCTTGCTCATATACTTCTCATACTAGAATAATTTAGATGCAACTTCAGTGATGCACTGGTGAACACTTCCAACTTGCCACAGTAATATATGAATGCGCTTTCCAGAGTTTAGAGTGGAGTTGGAATTCTTCGTGTTGTTGCTGTTTAAATGGTGTCTCAGTAGGTAAATTTCACATGCTGATCTCTCTTGGTGACCATGGTTGAAGACTTCAGTATATCGGAATGATTAATTATCTGAAGCCCCTTGGTTTGCCTTTTTAATTAAATTCTATTGGTAAAATGAGTGGATATGGAAATGCACAGTAAATACCTGCTGTTGCCTGTTGAGCCGAGATCTCTGATTTGAAGAAAAGGTCAGTTAACCTTCTTTATAGTCTAGACAGAAAAAATGGACCATCGTACTACAGCAGTAATTCGTTAATGTTCATCCATGAAAAATTAAGTAGAAGTTGCTTATTCTCTACAAAAGTGAAAAGATCCCCTTAAAAAAGGGGGAAAATTTGACTTTGTGCCCCAGCCCAGGGATCACGATGGCTGTGAGGCTCTGCTTTGGAATTAAATGTTGAGCACTGCCAGATGCCAGACATCGTGAAGAGGCTGAGTTTTGTCGGCAAATGGGATCTGCAAGTTAATTGGTGTTTTCTGCAGGCTTCTGGCTGTGAAATGAAATTGGAAGCCCTTTAGCCACATGGATAATACAGGACCTGAATACAAATGTCACATGTCACCATCAGGGCCCACTGTGAAACAATAGTGTTCCCACTCGAATGCTGCGCCATTACAGATCATTTAAATATGGGGATTACATTTAAACTAAAAGCCCCATTTGCCTTTTACTGCAATTTAAATGTCCTCTTAGCAAAAGCTAAGTGACAAATTAAATGAAAAAAGTGCCCACATTTTTAAAGCTGTAATGCAAAACAACCTTTTATTGCTTCTCATGTGCCACGAATGAATCATTATACTTGTCAACCCTAAACCAAGCCATAATTGGAACAGCTACTGTTATCAAAGCGGGGTTGCTCTTCTGACAGCTTAATAAAGCTGAAACTGTTAAATTAAATCCCAGATGCTTAATCTGATGAAAGCAGTCAAGTAGAAGAATCTAAGACAAGTATCTACTGCGTGGTGGAGTGATGGAGCCCAACAGCTTGTCAACACGTAGATTACAGGATCAGATATTTTTTTGTGTGTGAACTACCATTTTCGGTATCTTTATATCCTCTTGCTTGCCTTCCGGGTGAAGAAACTTCACATAATTTGCATGTTTCAAAACAAACATTTCTAGTAGATTTCCTCCATTTTGATATTTAAGAACTGTTTAAGGGGGAGGAGAGCTGTTTTGGTTTTTTTTAAAGTCAAGGATCAGTTTCTTGTGGAACAAAAATATGATGCCTGTGTTATGGGGAAGACAATGTGTCCAAAGAGCTCTTGCAACGCAGGGCAGTGGATGAAATTGGTGAATGTGTTCTGGGTTTGCATCATGCTGATCCTGGTCTTTGTTGGTCCTCTCATTTTATGACGTTGAGGAGAACTTAAAAGGTATTCT